TTTTTTCTAATAGAAACTGGGTCGTATACACGTTACACACGGGAAAAATCAAGAAAATGATCATCCAGTCAAACCGTTTGCCCGGATTCGAATCCCGGACCGAACTACCACTGTTCAGCGACTGCTCGGCCGCTGGTGGGACCAGGTGCTTTTATATTTCAGTACTACAGAAGGGTAAAACAGAATTATTTATCCGGTAGAAATAAAAGGTTAAAACAACAATGAGCGAGACTATGCATTTGATAGTGGAAAAATTAAAACAGTGTTTTTGAAAATATCTCATGGCTAAGTTATTAGAGAAAATCTGTCAATGGCTTAAAGCTTCAAATAATTTTGATATTTTGTAGAGAGAAATTAATTATATCAGTGGAAACCTGACAATGCAATGCTACCAATGTTTTTATAAAAGCATTATTTGACGGAAAAATCAGCGTTTAGTGTATTTTTATTATTGGTCGCCAGTGAGCTGTTGCAAACTTAATAGGACTTATATAATAAAAACCAATTAAGAACATTCCCATTCATAACAACTTTTATCAAATCTTTTCCAAATGCTCTGCCGCTGACGTACCAATACTAACAGCTTGTAATATTTTTGAAATTGAAAAAGAAAGTTATTCAAAAAAAAAGAAGAATATTACAACAGGGTTTTGACTTTTTGCATTAGAATTAAAAATGACACATTTGTGGAACATAATGTTACGATAATTACCCAATATGGTATAATTCTGCTTTTATTTATTACTAAATTTTGAAATTTGCCTGAATAATGGCTGTCAAGGTATTTATGTTGCAGTTACGTTTACAACTTCTGCTTATTATTATTGAAGAATTAGTATTTTTTAGTGCTACAAGTGTTAATTACGAAAATTACCTACACCTTAGTAGATTGATTCACATTTATGCAGTAGTATTCATGGATGGATTAGAAAAAAATCCCTTTCTTTATTGATGATAAAATACCTTGCATTTTCTGCAAATTAGTTTCAGCAAAGTGGAGAAGACCTCATGCAGCCAGTCTGGAATGGAAAAACTGCGAGCTAGCAATCTTATGGCTTTAATTCAGTTTGTTAACTGCCTCTCTTAACACTTACATAAAAATGTAGATATTCAATACTCTTTCCGGATAATTTTAAAATGATTTTTGGACAGCTGAAATATCATTTATCTAAATAGCTACTTGACAGTTACGGGCATGATATATTTTAAAAGGAATTCATTTTCTTTCACCTCACGTCGAATAGTGCTAGAGAGGAAAGGTACGCTAAACATAGCAAATTTTATCTGGTTTCAAATTTCAAAAACCAACAGGCTGATAAGAGATTTTTTCCATATATAACGTATATGAAAACAATTTTTTTTTTTTTTTTTTTTTTTTTTTTTAAGAATTTAGCACTCTGCTGTTTAATTCAGTTAATCTCCCTCAGAAAAGACATGGGAGTGAGATTATCTCTTTCACCAAGAATCGAGTTCTTACACTACTTTGTTTTAACCTTGTACACATTTTAACCACTGAAAACGTTGACCAAACCAATTTTTAAAAAAATTATTAATTGTGCGATCTGTTAAATATAGAATTTAGTGTGCTTTTCTATTAGCAGAGCGCCTCATGATGCCAAACCTAAATGTTTGAGAAATTAATTAAAAATAAGAGTGCGAACCCTAATATATGCAAGTTTCAAGGGAAAAAGACTAAAAATAATAACATTTAAAGATTAGAATAAAAAATGGATTTCACCACATTGATTTTGTATTACACACAGTGCTGCCACTTATGTTTAACATCGACGACAACACCTGTATCTTTTCATGCCCACCATCTAGATTTCAAGTATTAGAAATCTAGGTTATAGGCAGACAATAACACGCTATTCCGACATTTTGCTCCATCAAATTCGTAATTTATAAGAGACGTAACAAAGAAGTATCTGAAAATCTCAGACAATAATTGTGTCGATGATTCTTTCTTCCTGCTTAGTTGTAAGAATGTCACGGCGCCGCGTTAACCATAAAATACGATGAAGAATACATGGTTATCATCTATAATATATCGTTGTAATAATCATGATTACTATTTATAATAATCACGCTAAGTAATATAGCTAGCACACAGTAACTATTACTCCAAAAGCTATACACTCAATTCTCGGGAGTGTGGCGCATTTCATTTTCTTCTTTACTAGAAAAGATTTTGTAAAAGAGCAATATTGAAAATTACGATCAGTCGGTTACAGTGACAAAGGTGGTTTGAAGGACACCAAATCACAATTTTGGTGTATCTATAAGAATTATTTATTGTTGAAAAAATATCCACGCGCCAAGCAAAAATGGATATGGCTATTCAAAACTTCAAATTATTGGAATCTCAATCAACAATCTTGAGATTTATTTGCCTTTCCGGAATATAAAGATCGAATACTGTGAAATGAAATTCTCCAGCCCCAGAGCCACTAAAATTACCTTAATATCAAACGAACTTCATGGTAGTTGATAAGACAACGACAGTCTATTCGCAATGCCAAGCCAAGATAAAGCAATGTCAAGAATACCTACCTATTCTCATAAACAGAAATGGTGACGAATTTCCACAAAAAGGACTCCTGTCATGTTTGCTAAACAGATTAATAATTTTCAATCACGTGCAGAAGCATTTTAAGCATCCGCTTATACGTGGGTGACCACTACAGCATAAGCAAATATTCAAGAAGGTTAAGATTTTTCCAGCTGTGTTTAACATTGCTACTTGTCCTACAGCAATTGCATTGCTTTCTTTCCTAAGATGCGTAAGCAGTCAGATATAGATATTGAATTTTTTTGGATTTGGAGATATTAATTATATCTGCCCATAGGTAGTCTTACCTTTGCCGAGTGCTAAGGGAAATTTACACATTACACATGCGGACTACAAAGCACTTGAAACCATTTCGTTTCCGTAATTTTGAAACCGGGTCGAACGTTGTCTCATTTGAGGCTTTCCCAAATAATGCTTTTACAAAAACGCACCATTTTAGGCTTTCTTTGTGAGACAGGTAATAATAATTCGCCTTTTGGCCTTTCTATTCACAGTCAATGTTAAATCAGAAATTTTGATCGACTGGTTCCATAAGCAAAATGGAATTATGGCAAAGCACTCGAAAGATATATACTTAAAAGGAGGGATGCCGCCTTCGCGGAGGACTTTCTAAGGATAACTGCTCGAGCACACGTTACACATGGGGAGAACGACGAACGTCCATGCAGCCAGTCCTCTGGGTGGGATTCGATCCCTAGACCGAACTACCATCGTTCAACGTTCGTTCTGCCCCTGGTGGGACGAAAATGTGATCAGAGGCGTTGTAACTCTGAAACATAAACGGAAAGATGTGAAAATTATTCTCCGTCCCTTAAACGTAGTGCTGAGCCACTATTTAGATACAACATTAACGTCATATAGTGGTGATGCAAATACAGTAACAAAGCTTTGATTACAGTTTAGTGTTGTAATCTTTAGATATGCCCACGTCATTTTCTAGATAATAATTTCGCCAAAATTATTTTGAAAATTTAACATATTAAATGCAAACGAAAATGGACTGAGTTAACATTAAATGCTATTTAAAAAAAAAAGATGCGCCAGAGACTCGTGAAATCTGTAACTGATATTTCTATTCCAGCTTTAAATGAAATAACTGTGGTATTTTAACGACTAATTTTTTTAAATGTGCGTTTTATCGTTGAGGAGCAAGCTGAGGCATATATAGACGAATGGGTTATTTATGACCATCTGTCAAATGGAGTTATTATTGGAACTCAGATACATGCTATGTTCTCTTTTCCATAATATACGTATTTACCGTTCACCTTAAATGCCCTCTTTTTTTTTCAGTTTTCTTTGTTCCACTCGCATTTTTGGCGTTATTTAAAGTAGTGAACTTTACCTTCTAAATTTCTGCCTCTAAAGCGAATAGTGAGAAAATTTTCTAGATTCAGTGAAATCTGTCTGATACGCACTTAACATCTTAAACTATTGCTTTTTCCGAGAGGAGGTGTATTTTAAGAAAAGACAGTTCCATAATATTAAAAATTTTCCTTAATATTAAAGAAAGACCAGATTGGCGCAGTTTTTGATGTTCTTATCAAGAAACCTGCAGAAAGAAAAAGCCCTGAAGTGGCACGAATTTTGTTGCCACCTCCTAAATGCCAGAGTGAAAAAATTTGAAATGAAACATTACTGGTCGAACTACTAGTGTTCTTGAGGTCTTACACAGTCTGCTCAGCAGGATATCTATTCTAGGCGGCTAAAGAGTCGACTGCAGAAGTGTTCTCCATGTGCAACTTATATGCGACCTATTTTCGCTTTACTGCTTGCTATAGCTGCCGTATAGTCTTGCATCACAGAATCCTTTAAGGTAAGTAATCTTAAACACATGTTAGAGGAACAGACACACACACACACACACACACACATATACATATATCGTTTAAAATTTCATTAGTTTTTAATGCTTGCACAAGGTAACAGAATTATTGCAATAATTTTCGTGAAATAATTATGTTCTTTTATTTCGACAACATTTTCGTGTATGAATTTACAACTTTTATTTATTCAAATTGTAGCCAACATCTAGTATTTTTGGTTTAATCTCATATTTTTAATATGTTTAATAGAAATATCTTTATACTAATTTCCATTATTTTATTTATACCTTATATGAAAAAATTCTACAAATAACCATATCTTGGTTGAAAGAAAAATGCAATTTTTGTGTCGCAAATAGTATATACTACATTTTCACATTACTTATTTTACATATTATTTGTAAACGCATTATACTGTATCTTACGTTAAACTCTCTAGATCCTATGAGAATTAGAAAAGCCGTATCGTCCCAAAATTATAAATCACCTTAAACACCACTTTATTTCCTAACTTATTCTAGTAGTTTAAGAATTATTAATGAAATTGAGTAACACCGATTTATTTTGAATTAAGAAATGCTCACATAGAAATAGTAACTTACTCGATATTGCCACGAGCGTCGTCAATACGGTTAGCATGTTTACAAACAGACTTCCAGTACTTATCGCAACGCCCAACTATCTCAAGCCGGTAACAGCGTTGAAAGGTATAGAAGTTCACGTTGTCACCTTGATAACGCAGAACATATTCACTGTGACGTCACTTCCTTTCGCAGATGGCGAAATTAGCTGTCCTCACTACGGCAAATTTTAGAAAGAATTCTTGTATAGAACCTGTATCTTTCGACTTTACATCCGTTTTGAGAATATGTACACATATGCCCATCAAACTAGTTTTGCAACTGCTCGTGACGTAAGGTTTATTCTTTTAGGGATGATTTGGGAAAAATTCTTTATTATTCCCTACGCGTTTGTTTTTAGGGAAAAAGAGGAATTCTGTTTACTGCAGTCGAATTGTATACTAATGTTGTAAGCAAAATATTTTTAATTACTTCCAACTTGAAATATTCAAAATTATCATTACGCATTATATAAAACAGTAACGAATTTCACATATTTATAAAACTCATATTTGTTATTTAAATGTTAAGTAAAATGCTAACAAAATAACAAGAATTAATGTTATTGCTATCAAACAGAGCTGTTACGTAAGGCGTTCCGTTTCAAATAATGGCTAGCTCAGAAAGGATTCATAAATCATCTACCCGATGAATTACCAGCTATCTTATAAATGGAGCACTTCAAATCTTGTAAACTTAAAAAGCTTTATTTACACTAATGTACAAGTTAAGTCAGTCTCTATCTGGCCTTTGATTCGTTAGCGTAGTGATGCCATTCTCAACATCTTCCCCCCTTTCGTGTTGCTGAATACCTACTCAAAATATTGAAGTCTATCAAGTTCAATCTTAGTGGCATTTTAACAATTCTACCAGATCGTGTCTTTGAACTATCTTAGAACTGTCACATACATCGGAGACATCAGTGTGGTCAGGAGATCGGGGTGGATTTGAAAAGAAAGGAGGAAAAAAACCCGAAAAAATGGAAAAAAAATCAAAAAACAAACAAACAGTAAAAGTAGAAAAAAATATCAATGTCCAGGTGGTGAATGTTAAATATCTTTATACTAATTTCCATTATTTTATTAATACCTTAAATGAAAAAATTCTACAAATAACCATATCTTGGTTGAAAGAAAAATACAATTTTTGTGTCGCAAATAGTATATACTACTTTTTCACATTACTTATTTTACAATTATTTTTATATCTTGTGCACCACCAGTTCATCTGATCAGCAGAGGTTGACGGGATAATGGTGCCTTCATGGCATATCATTCGTACTTCATAACAATTAGACTGATGAACTTTCGTTGTCTCATAAGGACCAAAGAATTTGGGACGAAGTCTAAGTCCAAGTTTCAGTCGAAGTCCAAGTTGGATTGGCATTTGCTCTTCAAGTTTGTATTTGCAGGCTCTTTTATGACGTTTCTTTGGGCGTGAAGCGGCTAATGATTATGAAACAGTAATTTTTCTACCAGATATTTCAGCATTCTTTATTGTCTCAAAAGCTTCAACTGCATCTTTTTCCTGTCTATAACTTATGGTAGTATTTGGATGTACATGTGATAAATTCAGAGTTATTCGAGATGCTTTTGGAAAACGTTCGGCAATTTGAAAAATCGTAGTGTTAGCTGGAATGCCAGAGATAAGTATTGTCCTTGAATTATGTTTCTGTTCTTTGGGAGTTTCTGCTCTTTTAGCAGGTGTTTTCTCGTTTTCTTGATCAGCAAATTGATTCAGTTGATTTTGCACATTTTCTTCATTATTCTTCACGATTGGATCATCATCGACATCATCATGACCATTAGCTTCAACATCATCTTCATCATGTGGTAAAAAATGCCCCTTGTCAATATTATCAGTTACCTTTTCAATTATATTCAATTTTTCCCATTCTCGGAAAATCGTAGTATATTCTTCGAAAAATGCTGTATCTTGTGCTCGCTGGCACATCCTTTATGAAGCTTCCAAGTTAAATCTTCATTTGTCGGCAAATCGACTATATCAAATTTAAAAAGTAAACAAAGTTCATATCTACCATCCGAAAGAATTTTCACATTATTTTTAAACTCTTACAAAACTCTAGAATGTTCTACATTCTTTTTATTATTTTCTATGGGATCTGAAATACCTACGGATTCTAAAGACCACAAATCTTTTATCGAATAATTACTAACATGCAATGAAATTACATTCAAAAGTATCTTCATTGCTATCTCCAAATGACTCATGCTTCCCAGTTAACACATGTCCCAAACAAGTCTCAATCAAAAATAATACTGAATCCAACCGAACAGATTTATTAGTAAATAAAACGCCGGTAATATTCGTTTCCAAAAGCAAACCGATCTCACAGAAGAACCCAAATCAAACTGACGCCTCTATCTTTCAGTTTAACTACGAATTTTGCCGTTCACGTTTGGCACTGTGCCACAAATTTTGCTCTCTGATAGTGCTTCGATTTGAAAGCAGAGCCATCCAATACCGAAATGAATAAATTATAAACATCGTGAATCTGCGCTAGCGTTTCTCTTCCCCCAAATAATGAATGCTTCAATTTAATTTGCCTTAATGGTTTTAAATTCTTTACTAATTTTTTACTGACATACGAATGCTGAGAAGCTGTATCCAGTAATGTGCGTACTTTAAGCTCAATATTCTTAAATTTAACTATTAGAGTCATTAAATAAACATTTTCTATTCTACAGTTATTAGTTAATGTCCTGGTGTCAGTTACGTCACTTCTAGATTTTTCATTTGCGCTTTTTTCTTGGCGATTAGGACACATTAAAGAATGGTGATTATTATTACAGTACATGCAGGAATTTTTTACTCGACATGTTTTATAAGTGTGTCCCAATCTGAAACATCCAAAACAGGCACCTTTTTTAATTATATATTTTCTTAGCTTCTATTGTCATATTTCTAGCTTCACAAAAGAGACAGTTAAAATTGTGCTTACTTGGTTTCTCAAAATTTGATGTACTTACTGACGCAGCTGCGGTGGCGGATTCTAGATTTGTATTTAGTGTATCCTTTTTCTTAGAAATATGATTTGAACCAAACCCAGTGCAGGCTAAGATGACCATTTCTTCTCCTTTCACTTCTTGTTTAAGAAAATTCATCAAATATTCAAGGCATCGATCATCAGGTTGAGGTGCTGCTTTTAAATTCTGGTTTCTCTCCCAAGCAATTACTATTTCTTCTGGCAGGTAGGATTCAACTAAAGGCGTTAAGAAATCACCATACTTCTCTTGCTCTCTTCCAGTACAAGTTAGTCTTCTCCTCCAAACCTTTCTCGAAGCTTAGCGATTGCTTTCAGATAATTCTGGATTGCTGGAAAGCTCTCAACTATCCGTGCGGATCTGGACTGAGGAACAACTGCTTGCAGAAGGTACTGGAATTTATCTTCATTGCAATCGTCGGATCTTCATGGATCTTCGAAAATTGGCTGCAAAACGCCGAAACTTCCTTTACTTCGCAGTTGAATTTCTTTAGTTCAATCATCGGCAGTTTAAATTTGCGCTTCTCTGGTAATTCAGTAGGTAAAGGATTCTTCAACAGCTTTTCGAATTGAGAACACAGTTCAAAATATTTATCTCTATAAGGCTCAGACCAAATAAAATCTACTCCATATTGCTTTTCAGCATCTTTAAATTGAAGAATTATTCACGTCTTCCTTTTGGCAATTTTCAATTCGATTAAACTTGTTTTTAAGCTGTAGTTCCAGAACCGAAAGTAGCTTCAAATCATGAATATCAAATATCAGTTCTGCATCAGTTTTGTTTGCACATGTGGTAAAAAAATTTCTTACACATTTCCGTTCAGTTTTCAGCAGTGTAAGCTCCATTTTCAATTTATTTTAGCTTTTATCGCCCCCCACTTTGGGCGCCACAAATAATATATTACGTAAGGCGTTACGTTTCAAACAATGCTGAATCCAGCCGAATAGAAAAGTTATCTATAAGTTCATATAGATAACTTAACGGGATTCATAAGTTATCTACCCGATGAATTAATAGCTATCTTATCATGAATGGAGCACTTCGGATCTTTTAAACTGAAGAAAAAATCCTTTATTTACATTTATGTACAAGTTAAGTGAATAAGAAGTATCTATCTAACAACATCATTCAAACATCATTCTTAGCTATCTCAACCGAGACTCCTCCGACCCATGACGTCAGTCTCTATCTAGCCTTTGATTCGTTGGCGTAGTAATGCCATTCTCAACAAGAGCCATGCCTAGGTATTTTTACTTTCTTGTACGAAATAAAGGAAGTATTGTAATCGCGGAAAATTTTGTGTATCATATTTCAACGTAAATTTCTATTTCGACCGCTCTCGAATCAATTTCAACGACATTTTTGAATGACATCAGTACGAACGGACAGAATAAAGGACTCTTTTTCTGAAACTGATTGGAAATTGATTAAAAATGGATTCAGAAGAGATATTTTCGTGACGTCTGTACGTACCTATGCATGCATCTCGCATAACTCAAAAACGAGTAGTCTCAGAACGTTGAAAGTTTGTATATGGTACTGCTATAACATGTAGTTGTGCACTTCACTTTTCGGTTGCAATCAGAAACACAAAAGTATATAAATGTGTGTCACTCTGCTACTCTGTCTCTCTTTAGAAAAACAGTGTGTTTAGATTTAAAAACGAAAAGAACAAAAATAGTTAAAATAATAAAGATATAAAGTAACTGAAGCAATTAAAGGCATTAATTTTCCTTTCTTTTGCTTTTCAATACAATGATTCTATACAATCTATACAATGATTAATTTGTTTTTTGCTGATAAAATAGCACAGTTCGACAACCTTTCATACTGGGAAGAGGATCTCAGATAATACTTTTATTATTTTAAGCATTCTAAACTTTCTTCCAAATCTATCTTCATTAAATGGTAGAGTTATTCGTCACACAGTTTCTAAATTCAGAAGCAACTAAACTAATCTACTTTCTGCTCTCATTTTTCCAAAAATTACATTTGTATTTGCCTTTATACTTAGAAGTATCGCGATTGCGTGGAATTTTTTAAACTCGAATGTTCTAATGCGATCTTTGCAGCCTTTTTATCATAAGTATCTCTCAAAAAATAATCAGAGATTCTGTTCTAGCATAAGATAACACATTGAACAAGAGTATATAACTCGATTCTAGCAATGCGTTTTTACACAATATGTGCGTAAAGTCATGGTGCAGATTTGACCAGTCACTGGAAACCAACGAA